TCCACCTATCACAGTTGTCTGTTCTCACCCCAATACTACTCGCTGCCTCCCCTAAGTGTGGTATTAGGCACTTTGAACATTTTTTTTGGTGGACTGCGGGGCATGCTGGGAGTGCTAAGGGACCACTCCTGGCTCTGTGGTCAGGAGCCTCACCTGATCCTCTGCTCAGTGTCCGCCTCTGGCAGTACTCAGGGGACCATATGCAGTGCCAGGATTCAAATCATTGCCATGGCCACAGTCACATGAAAATCAAGTGTCTTAACTTCGGTACTATCTCTCTGACCCTATTCTGTTCTGTATTTGTAAGCAGAGATAGGAGTCATTCTGACTCAGTTTTGATGGAGGTCCCAACACTGCACTAACTGTGGCCCTTGTTTCCCAACAAGATAAAGGAACATTTCAGAACTGATTGTGATAGGGTTTTTATGGATTCCACTTAGCTCCTACAAGGAGCTAAGCAATCTCACAGAAAGCAAAGAAAACATAAGTTCAGATGCTGAAGCTAGGAGGGCAGTCAGAGCCCGTAAGCCCAAGGGGAGCTGTGGAGAACAAGGAGGAGCAGAGACAGCAGTCCACAAAAAAGTAAGGAAGTTACCCTAAACACTGACACTGGCAGCAGAAAAAAAAAACTGTATTGTTCCTCAACTCTCTTTCTCTCTTCAGTTCAGATGCAGACCATGGGTAGAGACTTTATAACAGAAAATGACCAGTTATTTATTATTATCACTATTATTGTCGTATGGTAAGCAAAAAATGAAAAGTCTTACCTAGGTTGCCCAACTAGTCCACATACCATGTTTGAACAGGTGGGGTTAACGGGCAGAGGAAAAATAAAGCTCTTTACCTATTGCCCTCCGGTTGTACAACAGAGAACATTTGCTTGCTGTGACCTGTCACGTACGCACACACGCCTGACCCTAAGCCCTGGGAGAGCAGGGACATGGTGTCTAAGTTCACTCCCATGCTCCAGGCTTTAGCGAGAGATTGGGCACTCTTAAAGACCTGCTGTGTGAGCAAATGTTTATCCTCTAACACAGATGCAGCAAAAGATGATCTGTGTAGTCACTATTTTAAGCCTCTACATTTTGGTGTCATTTGTCTGCCACATCAGAAAACTGGAGAACAAAACCCAAGCCTCTACTCAATCACAAGGTAGAGTTTACAACCTTTTCGTACCCCTATGGGGCTGCTGGTGAGCATACAGATACTTTTTCCAGAGGCAGGTATGGTGTGTGGGGAGCCACAGAGCAGGGAAGTTAGGCAAAAGAGAAAGTGCCACTGACCTCCTTTGTGGCCCACCACAATAGTGCTAGTGACATGGTCATATCTATGAAGACTCAGAAATCTGATTGAACTCCTTCACGGCTCCTGCCCTGCATAGACACTGAAGGCCCAACCTCCACTCATGTTCTTGCATCTGTTTTCTATTCTCACAGAAAAGGTCAGGAAACGACAGTGAAACAAAAATATTATTAAAAAATTACTATCAAAAACACTATGTATACTATTAAGGTAAAGGCCCTCCCGTTGATCGTCGATTTGCTCGAGCGGGCCCAGTAACGTCTCCATTGGAGACTTTGTTGTTACTGTGTCTGGCATATCGAATACTCTCGGTAGCTTGCCGGGCTCTCCGAGAGGGGCGGAGGAATCAAACTCGGGTCGGCCATGTTGGCCGCTAGTAAGGCAAACGCCCTACCGCTGTGCTATCGCTCCAGCTTAAAATATACAAATATATTATCAAAATATTATTTAGGAAATATAAGAGGGAGAGAAATAAAGAGAGAGAGAGCCCTGTAAAGAAAGAAATTACATATCCCAGGTTGAGGTATGGGTGACCCTCCTCCCCAAAATTGAATACAGCATGAAGTAGAGGGAAGAAATTAACACCAGAGTTGAGGGGTATGGGCACTTCCAAGACTAAATGCACCATTTCTTTTGCAAAGCTGGTTTTTATTTTATTTTATTTTATTTTTTGCTTTTTGGGTCACACCCGGCGATGCTCAGGGGTTACTCCTGGCTCATGCACTCAGGAATTGCTCCTGGCGGTGCTCGGGGGACCATATGGGATGCTGGGAATCGAACCTGTGTTGGCCACGTTGGCTGCGTGCAAGGCAAACGCCCTACCCACTGTGCTATCGCTCCAGCCCCCAAAGCTGGTTTTTATATGCCATCTTCTTTTGGAACAGAACAATGGATATAGAGGTTGATTAACAAATGTATTGAGTATATTATAGACTACAAAATGGTATTAAAGATACAAAATGCTCCTGAGAACTATAAGAAAATCTTTACTCGGGGAAGTCTTCTCCTTTGTCTGTTGTTAAACTTTCTCGAATAAGAGCACAACCCTGAGAGACATTATACATTGACTTAAGCCAGATAGAGTTAGAGTACTCAGGCACGGAAGGTCTCTTATCTCTCGGATATCTTCATGGTCGGGAAGCTTAATCTGGTTATTGTCTTCTAATTTATGAGATTTGGATGCTTTTTATGGGAAAGTTCCTTTTTCGTCTATCTCTGACCTTTTAGAAGGTCTATCTATTTACAAAGAGATAATTTATAAATTTATCTATTTATCTCCAGTCCTTGCTGTTAAAGTCCTTGTTTGGGGGCTGGAGCGATAGCACAGTGGGTAGGGTGTTTGTCTTGCATGCAGCTTACCCAGGTTTGATTCTCAGCATCCCATATGGTCCCCTGAGCACTGCTAGGAGTAATTCCTGAGTGCAAAGCCAGGAGTGACCCAAAAAGAAAAAAAAAAGACTCCTTGTTTTAATCCAATTTCTATTTCATTTTCCAATTTTCCAAACAGTCTCGGATTGGGGCTTTCTGTGCAACTAAGTGTCCGTTGCTTTGCAAATAAGTTTCTGTTGTTAGTACATTGTCGGGAAAGAACACTGAGTTTTGTTCCATAGCATGGCCTCTTGTTACTGTAGAAGCACTTCCTCTCCTAAATGGGTTCAGCCTTCAGTGCTTCAACCGGCAGCATTCAGAGTCTAATTAGGCATTTGTTCCTGGGGATCTTCTTCAAAGATGAACCAGCCTTTGCACTTTTTGACTGTGAAAAAGCTGGAAAGAGGCCAGAGCCATAATACCGAGGGTAGGGTGCTTGCCTTGCACGCAACCCACCTGGATTAAAATCCTCACATCCCATATGATTTCCAAGCCTGCCAGAAGTGATTCCTGAGGGCAGAGCCAGGCATGTCAGAAGTGATTCCTGAGGGCAGAGCCAGTACTCAGGCAACCCCTGAGTACTATCGGTTATCGATTATGACCCCAAAACAAATGAAAACGAAAGAAACAAACAAAAAGACTGGTGACTGAATAACTCCTTTTCAGATCAGGTCTTGGTTTGATCACTTCAGAAATTCATCTCCAAGAGTTTCCCTACCTTACTACTTCAATCACAGCTGCCTTGCTCTAATTGTTCTAACTTGGAGCAAACGAAGTATACGGGACCCAGCATGAGAACTGCATACCAAGAAGAGGGAGGACTGATAAACATGAAGACCTCAAAGGAAATGGAGAATGATTTTATCTTAAAGACACATTAAAAAAAATTTTTTTTTCATCAGCTCATGGCATACTGGGATAGCAAAGTACAGACATGCGAGAAATGACAGAGTCAGCAGTGGTTCCCTAATTGGGTCCCCTATATGTTGGAGCATATCTGAGATTTTGTAACTTTCATTCATTTAAATCTCTTCCTTTCAATGTTGGCTTGTTTTATAGTGTGCATATGATCGCATGCATAAAAGTATACACGTACATAGCTCAGTTCATTAGAGCATGGTGCTAAGAAAAGTGCATTCCTTGTGAAAAACACAAAGTATACACATACAGAAAAACAAGAGCAGATAGTTCCAGTCATGGATATAAATAACCATGTGAGGCCCAAAAGCAGACTCCTCAGCAGCCATGACAAGCTGCAGTTAACAATAAGTTTCAACCTCGGCCTCAGTTTCTCTTTCCCTGGAGCAGGACTTGCAGTTTCTGGTAAACTCCCAGTTGAGTAATTTGCCAAGATAAGGACTTGGGCGGCTGGGTCTGGCTGATCATGAAGGGTCACTGTACTCTCCTTAGAAACTGTTGCTATCCGTTGCCTAACTGCTGACCACCTAGGGCCAATGCTA